CCCTGTACTTTGGGAGGCCAAGGAGGGTGGATCAAGAGATCAGGAGTTCGAGACCAGCCTGGCCAACATAGTGAAACCCCGATGCTACCAAAAATACAAAAATTAGTGGGTGTGGTGGCACATGCCTGTAGTGCCAGCTACTTGGGAGGCTGAGGCAGGAGAATCACTTGAACCCAGGAGGCAGAGGTTGCAGTGAGCTGAGACTGCACCATTGTTCTCCAACCTGGGTGACAGTAAGACTCCATCTCAATAAATAAATAAATAAATATAAATTAAAAAAAAATAGCAGGGAAACTGCACTGACATGGGGATATTTGTGCAGAGGTCAAAGAAGAGAGGGAGTGAGCCTGGTGGGTGTTTGGGGGAAGAGCACTCCCGGCAGGGGAAGCAAGAGCAAAGGCCATGGGCCATACACTCCACACCTGATGGGAGCCTGGCCGTGTTGCTGGAGCAGGTGGAGTGAGCCAGCAGGAGGGAGGCAGAAGGGGAGGCCTGGGAGTGTCAGGAGTCAGACCACGCAGTCCACTGTGAAGACCTGGGCTTCCATCCCAAATGACATGCCGTGTCATGACATCCCAAATGGCAGCCATGGTGGCTGCTAGCCAGGGCAGGGATGAGGGTCTACCTGGGTTTAACACATCCCCCTGGGCCCTATGAGGAGAAGCTGAATTGGTAAGGGTGGAAGGAGCAAGGGAGGAGGAAGAGAGATGGTCCTGGCTGGACCAGGCAGTAGCAGTGGCTGTGGGAAGAGGTGACTGGCTTCTGGATATATTTTGAAAGTAGAGCCAACAGAAACCAGAGAAGGGGGTGGGGGCAGCGGACAGTGGTGACTCCATGGCACACATACTTCTCTGTCCTCTTGCCCTGCGTGACAGACATCATTAACACAGATCTTTTTCCCACTGAGACCAGATTGGTTCTCAGAATCCTCCTCAACCCAGACCTGCAAGGTATCACTCCCACTAATCACAATTGGATGCCCAATGAGGCCAGGAGGCAGAATGGGTTCACACAGAAATGGGCACCATCATTTGTTTGCACCTACCATGTGCCTGGCACTAACTGTTTGCTTTTCCAATGCTCTCATTTCAATGAGAGACAAACTGTGGGATTGGCAGTGGCATCCTTATTTATCAGATGAGACCGAAGCTCTAGTGCTCCACACAAAATACTCCCCAGCTAAGACATTTAGAGCTACAATTCAAACGCAGTGGTCACTTATTCCAGTGCCAGTTCCAGACCCCCATGGGAGACCCCCTCCTCACTCTGCTCAGGCCTCACCCACCACACCTGGGCCTCCTGGCCATGCCAGGGCTCCACATTCCAACAGGCTGGTAGAGGCAGGTGTGGGCAAAGCATGCCTGGAGGCTGAGAACCACACCCTCCAGCCCCAGTGCCATCCTAGGCCAGGGTGGTGCAGAGGGGCATGTGCGCCTGTGCCAGGAGCCAGTGCTGGCTGGGGAGGGGACCCACCCTGCCTGGGGGCTGCTAGCCTGCCTGCTGGCCAAGGACCTCGCCAATGTCTTCTCTCCTCTGGCACACCCAGCAGCTCAGTGTCAAGACTTGCTAAGGAAAAGGTACAACTGGGGACATGACCCAGTCTGTGCCTGGAGACGACTCCAGCAGCCAGGAGGTGGGGCTGGTCTCTTACCCAGGTACACTCTCTCCCTGGGAGCATCCTCCACACAGTTGAGTGGGCTGTTGATGTGTCTGTCTGTGTGGACTGTAAGGGTCACTAAATATTTGGGACTTAGAAGGCTCCATGGCCAGGCTCCAGAGCCAGCTGGCCTGAGCTCAGGTCCAGCTCTGCCTTTTACTTGCTGTGTGCCTCCTCAGGCCAGTTACATTACTACTCTGATCCTCTTTCCCAGCAAAAGGGGACTGGTAAAAGCATCCACCTATAAGGCTCTGCAAGTTTTGGGGCGGGGGTAACCCACATGAAACGTTTAGCACAGTAAGTGCTGAGGAAGGTTAGCCTTTATTACCATTAGGAGCATTCATCCGCAAGTTCTCAAGAGTGACAGGGACTTGAGAAAGCGTCCAGGACATCTGTGGGGAGCACAGTGAGGGCTCCAAGCTCCCTGGGGTGGTAGCTGAAGGACGAGGGGGCAAAAAGACTATAGGGGGGAGGAAGGAGAAACTGAGTTTAGGCCCCTGCCAGCCACTGCTTTGCTGTGTGACCTTCAAGTCCAGTGCCCTCTCTGGACGTCCATTTTACATTCAGGACATGCACAAAGGCCCTCCCAGCGCTGCACCTGTTTTTTGGTACCTGCTATGGGCAGATGGAACAAATTAATTAAATTAATTTGAATTCATTTTAAAATTTAAATTGAAATAAAAAAGATTGAGAGGGGGCTTGGAACCCCTATGGCCTCCCAGTTTCTTCCTCCCAGGGGGGCTCACTTTTCCAAGGAAGGTAATTGGGTCATACTGGCTATTTGGTTTTTCCTATTTACGGTGCTCCTACCCTCCCCACCAGACTGTGAGTTCCTGGGGGTGGCCATGCTTGCTCCCAGTGCTCTGTGAAGCTCGGGCTCAGGCCTCCTTAATGCCAGGCCAGCTCTTCCTCCTCTTTCCAGACTCAGCTAGGCTCCACTTCCTCCAGGAAGCCTTCCTGGACCCAGGCTGAGTTAGCTGAGTGGGCCTCCTCAGGTCCTGCACCTGCCCCTCCCATGAGGGGGTCTGGTTTGGGATCTGCCTTCCTTCCAGGTACCCAGAGCAGGAACCACACTGGCCTGGCATCTGGAGTGAGCAGGGGATGTTGCCCAGCAGATGTCTGTGGAATGGACGAGTCCTGAAGTGCCCACGGGAGTTTGAGAAGAAATCCGGGTAGGCTGGTCAGCCCCAGCTCAACCCCACTTGGCTAGGACCTCTGGCAAGTGACCTACCCTGCCCAGCCTCCCTCCTGCCACCTGTTGGATGGGGACTCCGCGCTGTTGTGAGGATTCAGTCAGTCAGGAGACTCTGAGCCTGGCACAGCCCTAAAGGCGATGAACTCACCTGGGAGAGAGCTCGTCCCCTGCAGATGCTGTCCTGGCCTGCCACCTGGCTCGGGAGTTCACCTTGGCTCCCCTCCACCACTTGCTATTCTGACCTTTTAGCAAACAGCAAGCACGTCTCTGGCTCTGAACTCTCCCAGGTAATAGCATCTACAGAAAATGTAAGAACTATGCCCTGTCTTTATTATATTTGTTTTCATGGTAGCTTCTGCTTATAGCAGCCTCTTCTCAGATATGATGTGGTGCTTCCTTTTTTAAATATGCTGACCTAAGCCAGGCTCAGTGTCTCATGCCTATAGTCCCAGCAACTCTAGAGGCTGAGGTGGGAAGATGGCTTCAGCCCAGGAAGTTGAGGGTACAATGAGCTGAGATTGTGCCACTGCACTCCAGCTGGGATGATACAGCAAGACCCTGTCTCTAAAAAGATGAATGAACAGGCCAGGTGCAGTGGCTCATACCTGGAATCCCAGTGCTTTAAGAGGCCAAAGCAGGAGGATTGCTTGAGCCCAGGAGGTCAAAGTTACAGTGAACTCACCTGGGAGATGCTGTCTCCCAGCATCACACACCACTCCAGCCTGGATGACAGAGCAAGACCCTGTGGCTAAGATTAAATAAGCAAAGAAATCATCGGACATAAGCAATAGCATCAGGTAGCAGAAGAGCTACGCACAAGGGCCCTGAGACCAAGTGAGCCAGGTTCAAATCCCAGCTCTGCCTCTTCATTGTGATTTGCCCTCAGGCGGGTCTCCTTGCCTCAGTTTCCCCACCTGTACAGTGTAAGGTTAGCAGCAAGACCCCTGTCGGTCTGAGGGCTGTTGTGAAAGTTGATGTGTGCTAAATTCCTAAAGCTGGGTTTAGGGCACAGTCAGGGCTCCCTACTGTGAAAATGTTTTACAAAGTGAGGGGACATAAGTGAGCCTGGTGACTGACAGACACCACAGCCTGGGAAACACAGGCCCAGTCCACCTGCTCCACCTGCCCTGCCCCAGGAGGCCTGCTGCTACCTGCCTGCCTCCCTGGCAAGCCCCCAGCAGCACTGCCATAATCCCCAGGCTGGTAAACACATGATTAGGTTTCTCAGCCTTCGTCCTGTTACTCAGAGCAGTTCTCAGGTCCCGAGCACTCCTCCCACCAGCACCTCCCCATACCCTGACTCCCAAAGCCCTAGACCGCAGGCCCAACTCAGCCCTTAGTCTGTGCCTCAGTTTCCTCATCTGTGAAATGAGCTCCTGGGGAGCTGCCCAGCACTTCTCCAGAGCACCTTCATTCATTCTGCCTCCACAGTGGCCAGTGCACGGCTCCCAGGCCCCCTGTCTGAGCAGCTCCTCCCCTGCTCAAAGCCTCCGATGGCTCCTCACTGCCCTCAGCCACTCCCCCTGCTGCCTCAGCTAGTGTCCAGGTCAGGCCTCGTGATAAGTGATTCTGCATAAGTCCTTCATGCTCTTCCGGTTTGGCCTGAAGCCCAGAGGCCTCTTAGGCCAGCCCCACCCCACCACCTGCTGAAATCTTATTTGTACTTCAAAGTCTCAGGCATGCACCCTCCTGGACAGAGCTGGAGACCCGGGATCAGCCAGGCCTGCGTTTGTATCACTGCTCACTATTCACTTGCTGCCTGGTCTAGGCTAAGTTGCCTTGCCTCTCTCAGCCTCAGTTTCCCAATCTGCAAAACAGGTTCCTACTGGAGGTTAAGGATGATGTAATTTATTGGATGGTTCCAATGCTCTAGACATGCCGCCAGGCATGTTACCAGCAGGATTTCATTTTCTCTTCCCAACTGTTCTGTGACGTGGGGCACAACCAGCATTCAGAAGCAATGACATCATGTATACCCATTCATCTAATCCTCAAAGCAACGCCATAGGAGAGGGACTGAGATTATCCCCACTTTATATATGGGAAACTGAGGCATGTTTATATGGGAAAGTGAGCAGCCTGAGGCCACACCCTAATACATGCAGGGCTGGGATTCACTACAGGCAGCCCCGCCCCTGGACCCTTGCACTCAGCCACTGTGTGACAGGATCTCTGAACGTCCCCATTTTAGATGGTGGGACTGAGATCCAGAGGGAAAAATGACTCGTCCAAATCTGCACAGCTGGGACTCAGCAGAGCCCGACACACAGTAAGTGCTCTGGAAACATTTCCCAATCCTACTTCTCAGACCTGGGGAATCTGGGTGTTCCCTAGCTGACGCTGCCCCTCCATTCCCCTTTCCTCACCCCAGGGGTCCTAGCAGGTCCAAGCTGGACATGGTGGGCACGGAGGAGCGCCTGGTAGGCTGAGGTTGCTTCAGCTGCTGCCTCCAGCTGCCCCAGCTTGGGGCCCTGTGCCTGCAGTCTGGGGACAGGGCTGCTGGGCTCCCTGGTGCTCCCCGCCCCACATTCCAATCTATCCATCCCCACCCCAGTGTCTACCTGTGTGCATTTGCTTCTGTTCTCCTCACTTTTGCCCCTGACTGTATCTGACTCCCAGCCTCCTCTCTGTCTCTCTCTCTCTGTCTCTCTCTCTCTCTCTGTCTCTCTCTCTCTGTCTCCCTCTCTCTTCTACTCCATTCCCTATCTCTGCCTGCTTTCTCTGTGGGGTACCCACTCTGACTGGTTTCCTCTCTGTCACTCTCTCTCAACTCTGAGGTATGGGACACATATCCATGGCTCTTTACCACAGACATTTGGGGCTCTCAAAGATGAGAACATCCAGCTGGAAATGCCTCAGAGACCACCTTGTTCCACCAATGGCCAGTCAAGGCCAGACGCACCTGAGATCACTCAACAGGTGAGAGAGGGTAAGAAATTCCCCCACCCCACAGATTCAGCCAAGGCATGCTGAGCACGGGGCCCCCAGGCTCTGAAGCCCCTCCTCCTTCTACCCAGCTCCCAGACTGCTGGGGCCTCCACACAGCAGCCCACCCAAGGCTGGCAGGTGAGGGCCAAGGGTTCTGCCTGGTGAAGAGTAAACTCCGCGGAAGTTTCAGCGCAGAAGAGAACACCTGGGTGGCTCCGGGAGAGGATGTAAAGGAAGTAGATACTATACATGTGCCCCAGTTCCTCCACCTGTCTCTCTGCATCCATGATCTCTCCATCCCTTGAAGGAACCATGTCTGGGCAGGACAATGGGGCCGTTTTCAGGGCCCTCTGGAAGTGTCCTGCCTGCTGGCATTGACAAGCACCAGCTTGGGGGACGTGTTACCTTCCCGTCCTTGGTCACAATCAACTTCTCACTGGGCCCTCTCCCCTCCTCAAAACCCAACCTTTCTACGGAGTCCTCCAGGCTCAGCTCAAGAGCCTTTCTTTCAGGAAGGTTCTGTGCACCCACCCACAGTTCTAAGGTCCCCATCCATTTCCCTTCCCTGGCTGCCTTGCTGGTTGTCTCTCTAGGCTCCCCTGCCTCTCCTCTGTCTCTCTTTCTCTCTCTCTCTCTCTCTCTGCCTCTCTCTATCTATCTATCTATTTATCTCCCTGGCTCTCTCCCTTTGCCACCTGCCCCCACATCCCCACACCCTGCCACTTACTGGACCCCTTCCCTTGCTGTCGGTGTTCACTCCAGAGTCATGTGACATACTCCCCATCCTGCCCCTAAACTCTGTTCTCTGACCTCAATGCCAGCCCCTCTGCAGGACACTGCCCTCTCCACGTCCCATGGAATCCCACACACAGAAGAGAACGCCGGGGCTCAGACAGAGCAGGCAACCTGCCTGAGGTCACACAGCCTAAGTGGTGACAACAGCAAGGTCAACACCCAAACTGTCCAACCCAATTCCCAGGCTCTTAAATAGACCTGCCATCTCTCCAGCTGGGGTGGGCGCTCTGTTCAGCCCAGTCACCTCACATGGGGTCCTTCTGAAATAGATAAACCACAGGAATGGGACGGGGCCTTGACACTCAGTACCACCCCAAGGAGGCTTCCCAGCGGGGCCTGGGCGGCCTGAGCCCTGAGCTGTTTCTGAGGGTGACCTGACTTGGCTCTTCCTGCTGGGTCTGTGTTTGTGTCAAGCTGGTGCCTGAGGGACGTGAGGGTGGGCAGGCTCCCCTGGCACAGCTACCCCTGCCAGGATGGGCAGGGCCTGTACAGGCGCCAAGGGTTGATGATCTTTGCAGGGTGGGCAGCCAGGGTAGGCTGTGGAAATTCTGGGAGAAGCAGCTGCCTCTCCCCAAGGAGTGGGAGGGAGGAGGTAGGAGAGGAGACAGCAGGAGGAGGGGTTTTCCTCAGGCTGTCCTTGCAGTGACGTGCCTGCATGTCTGGGGCATGAGCCGACTGCCCAACTATGTCCACAGCCACCTACCAGGGCCCGCCCACCCTGGGACAGGGCCGGCAGCCAGCAGCTCCAGGCTCCAAGATGCTCATCAGCAGCTTTGTAGGTTTCTTTCTGCCTGGGGACCCAGGAGGAAAGGCACAGCCCCACTTCCTATGGCCAGGTGAGGGTCTAGGCACCTCACAAAGCACATCCACAGGGGAGGAAAGAGAGGTGCGGAGGAAGCGGAGCAGCCTGCGGTCACACAGCCAGTACCCGCTCTGTGATGAGAGCTCGTCTGCTGCCCCATTCTGCCCCTAATTCTCAGTCACTCTCGGCCCTCCAGAGCCCTGTGTAGCACTTGCCCCTAACAGATGTCCAGTGCATGCTTGCTGAATGAGCGAATGAATGAAAACAGACAAAGCTGGGATAGAGGCACCTCGATGCCCTGAACAAGGTTCCTGCCTTCCTCTGGGCAGGTACAGCCATGATCCCCGTGTTACCAGTCAGGAAACTGAGGCTGAGAGTGTCATCCTGGGGCAGGACAGTGGGCCCATCCTCAGGGCCCTCCGGAGGTGGCCTGCCTGCTGGCGTCAACAAGCACCAGCTTGGGGGACAAGCACCAGCTCAGGACTCTCCTATCGACGTCCTGACAGGAGGTATCTTACGGAGCCAGCGTCCACCCTGTGGCCTGCATCTTGTGTCCCTAAGCTACCTCTAGGGTGAAATGAGGCCACAGATGGATTTGGGGCTGGGAGTGGTTTCCGACCACTGGGCCACTTGCCCAGTGGATGCCAGGTCAAGCCCCCTTCCTGGCCACCCCCTGAGGACTGAGGTGGCCCTGGGGCTAGGCCAGCTGAATGTTTCTTCCCCTTTCTGATCGCACTGTTGAATATAAAGGAGTCTGGGAACCACATCTTTGGAGCTCAACAGTTTTTTATGCCCTTGAGAAGTTGGCTGACCCCACACAGGCTCCTTAACCTCTCTGAGCTCCAGTTTTCCCACCTATAACACAGGACCTCAAATCATGCCACCTGGATCAGTGGGAGTCAAACACAGGAACAATAAAAGGGGTTGCAGCCTTGCGTGAAGTACTATACAGCAGTGAAAAGGCATGAACGGCACCTGCGCATGCCAGCACAATGAGCCTGAGAAATACGGTGGAAGGAGAAAAGGCAAGTTCCAGAAGAAACAGTCAGTGTGATCCACTTTACATGAAGATTTTAAAAACACACATTTGGTGTACACTATTTCTCAATATATACATATGCATTAACAGTAAAAGAATAAAAATATACTTTGAACAAGAAGCATCAGGTTCCAAACAGCGGTTAGCTTTGGTGAAGACATGGAGGCGTAGATAGGTATATGTTTATGTTTATGTTTTTGTTTTTGTTTTGAGACAGAGTCTCACTCTATCACCCAGGCGGGAGTACAGTGGTGCAATCTCAGCTCACTGCCACCTCCATCGCCTGGGTTCAAGCAATACTCATACCTCAGCCTCCCAAGCAGCTGGGATTACAAGTGCCCACCACCACACCTGGCTGCTTTTTGTATTTTTAGTAGAGATGGGGTTTTCATCATGTTGGCCAGGCCGGTCTCAAACTCCTGACCTCAGGTGATCCACCCACCTCGGCCTCCCAGAGTGCTGGGATTACAGGCGTGAGACACTGCGCCCAGCCTGGCAGGTGTATGCTCAGCCAATCCAAAATACAGGTGCGTTACAATTTGGCCTCCTCAGCATCAGCAGTCCTCCTCTCTCTCGCTGTCCAAGTGGGAGAGAATGGGGATAAGTGGTGTTTTAGGGTATATTTTGACAGGACTTGCTTTGGGGTTGCATGTGCCCCCAGGCAACTACTTAATCTTGTCAAGCCTCAGTTTCCTCATCTGTGAAATGGGGAAACAATCCCTGCATGGAGTATTGAGAGGATTCAAGGCAGCCGTGCACATAAAGCCCTCCATGCAGTGCCTGGTACACTAAGACACTCCTTCAGCAGTGGAAACAATTTCGGTCATGACTAACTTTTGGACTGGGAGTGGGGGTGTGTGTGTTGAGCCTAAGACTTGGGGCCCAGAGCTTATTAGCCCACTAGTAGGCCAGGCATCTGTAGCTCCCCCCGTGGAGGGAGGTCAGGCCTAAAGACACTTCGCTCCATAGCAATCCCTGCAAATCCCTTCCCGTGAAACTCACAGGCCCCACTAATCAGTCACATGGCTGACCTTGAGCACAGAGGCTGATCCACACATGGGTCCACCCACCTCCTCCCACTGCTGTGCAAGCCCTGGCCTGGGGTGTCCGCTGCCCGGGGAGAAGAGAGGCCCAGCCAGCACCAGAAGCCCGGCACGTTTCTGGGAGCTGGGCTGAGAGCTGCCACACCTGCATCTGGATACCCACTTACAAGGCTTGAGAATAGGCCTGGCCCTGGGTTGGCCTGGCTCTGTGACCTTGACCGGTGCTTTGAGCTCTGAACCTTGTTTCCTCATCTGCTAAATGAGTATATGGTGGGCCTACAGCAGTAAGATGGTACGTGGAAACTGCTTGGCTGGATGAAGCTTCCTTTGTTATTGGTGTTTATCTCAAGGTCATCTCTAGGCTCTCTCCCAGACTCAGCATCATCACTTTAACCCCATGAGGTCAGAGCCCCAACCACCATGCGACACTGTCCCCACTTGCCTAAATTCTCCACGGGTCTAGTACCCTGTGCAGAGGATCTGAGTCCTTCCACCAACAGCCAGCACTGATTCCCAGTTTTGTGAGCTGGACGTCAAACCAGCTCAAATGCCACCTCCTCCTGGACCTTCCCTGGTTTCTGCAGGGCAAGGAGCTTTCTCTGCCCTCTGAGGTCTTCCTGCCCTTCAGCCCAGCTCTCCTGGCACCTCTGGCTGTGAATTTGAGACTCGACTGTGTGCAGTACTCTTGCTGAAGAGGCTCCTTAGGGCTTTGGTGGCTGCATTCATCCTTGCGCCGTGCACAGGGGCTCCGTTCACTGAATGAATCCTTTGCTATGGATAGAGTTCTGGGCTTAACTGGAAACACCACGAGGCCAGGCCTGCTTGCTTCATCCCTGTATGCCCAAGGCCTAGCATGGTGCCTGGCACACAGGGTGCCTGGGGAATGGACAGGGAGGCTAGCGGGCTAGTGAGGCTCTTTCCTGTTCATTGCCATCTGATGCCCATATGCCTGCAAGCTGATCCTGGGTAGTCTCACCTCCTGAGAGCCACACCCTGTGTGGCCCCCTCCCACACTGAAGGGGGCTGACCTGTGTGACCCACAGGATATTGCAGAATTGATGGTGTGTGACTTCCGAGGTTAAGTCATATAGGCATTGCAGCTTCTGCCCCACTCTCTGGAACCACTTCCTTCAGGGGAAGCCATGGGTCTAGTACCCTGTGCAGAGGAACTGAGTCCTTCCACCAACAGCCAGCACTGATTCCCAGTTTTGTGAGTGAGCTGCCTGGAGAGTTGAGCCTCCAGCCCCAGGCAATCCTTCTGATGAGAGCAGCCCCCCGCTGACACCTTGATGGTGACCCATGACAGTGACCCTCATCACACTGCCAGGCAGAAGCACCCAGCTAAACCACTCCCAAATTCCTGGCCACAGAATATAACAAAGAGTTGTGGTTTTGAGTCTTTCTGTTTGGGGCAATTTGTTACACTGTGATGGCTAACTGATACAGACAACCTGAGCTCCAACCATGTCCCTTGGGACAAGTGGGATTTCAGGCAGAGACTGCCCCAGGTTGCCAGAAGATGGCCAGCCAAGTGCAGATCACACACAGGGCCTCGGAGGCCTGATCCTCACCTCCCAGACACAGGTGGGGAGGTATGAGCCTGAGTCCTGGGCAGGGGGAGAGAGTGCTCTGTCCCAGCCCCAAGCTGGGAACTTTGTGTTCCCAAGAGGCAGGCATTGTTTATCACTCTGGGGTGAAGTGCATGTGCTCCCTGAGGCAGAGGAGAGACACTGGGCCTCCTGGGTGACTCATAGTGTTCAGGAAGGAAGCGCTGAGTGCGTTGCTAACCAGGAGCGGCTGCCGACCTGCCTGGGAACCAGCTGTTCTGTTTCTGCATTGCAGCATCAAACCCGATAAGCCAGGGTTTCCCCGAACGCAAGCACACCCAAGTAGGACCAGGACATCTTCTCTGCCAGACCCCAGGCTGGGGACAGCACACGAAGATGAACCGGCCATGATCTCCATCCTCTGGAAGCTCAGCTCAGGCCAACTAACATTGATTGAGCACCTTCTGTGTGTGGTGCTGGGGGTAGCACCACACTACTCAGAACTACTTAGAACCCAGCACTTCTCCACTAGGCACCGTCATCGCCTGCTGGGACTGGTGCAGTAGCCTCCTCACAGGACTCCCTGCTTCTGTCCTCGCCCCAAGCCTTACAATCCATTCTGCAAATGGAGCTCAGCAGGGTCTCTACAAATGATAAATCAGATCACGTCTCGGCTGCTCGAAACCCTCCACTCACCCTGACATAAAAATGAAAACTTACCTTCAGAGTGGAGAGATCTGGGGAGTCACCACCTGACCAATCTGAAATCACTGGGACCACCTGACATTTTGGGCCTCCTGGTGGCATGAGATATAAGGAAGACAGCCCCACTTGGGCTCAACTTATTCAAGGCATTTCTCTTTACTAGGGAGGCGGAACCCATTAAATGTCCCCGTAAGGAGACCATCAGATACCACAACTGTCCTGGACTCTTCATAAGAGTCACAATTGCCAAACACACCCCAAATGGCCCTCAATGGGAGAATGGGTAAACTGTGGCTTCTCCACACAGTGCCTACAGTTCAGCTCAAAAGGCTACAGGACACACGTGTAATGTGAAGCACTCACTTTGTGCTGAGCAAAAGAGGCCTTGGACACAGCATACACACTGCATGTTCCTTTTCCCTGAAGTTCTAGGACAGTCTAAGCCAATCTGTGCTGAAAGAAGTGAGGATCTGTGAGTGCCTCATGCGGGGCAGGGATTGCCTGGCAGGAGGCAGAGGGACCTCCCGGGAGTCTCAAATGTTCTGTATCTTCATCTGGGAGATCACACATGTACAAGTTCCCAAGCTGCTCATTGAAGACTTGTTTCCTATATGTCTGGCACATCTCAATATTTTTTAAAAATAATAAAATAAATAAGCCTTTTTGTTTTGTTTTGTTTTGTTTTTTGAGACTGAGTCTCGCTCTGTCACCCAGGCTGGTGCGATCTTGGCTCACTGCAACCTCTGCCTCCTGGGTTCAAGCAATTCTCCTGTCTCAGCCTCCTGAGTTGCTGGGATTACAGGCACACATCACCACATCCGGCTAATTTTTGTATTTTTAGTAGAGACAGAGTTTCACCATGTTGGTCAGGCTGGTCTCAAACTCCTGACCTTGCGATTTGCCTGCTTTCACCTCCCAAAGTGCTTGGATTACAGGTGTGAGCCACCATGCCCAGACATAAATAAGCTTTTTAAAAAGTCGATGTGAGGGCCAGGTGCAGTGGTTCATTGGAGGCTGAGGCAGGAAGATCACCTGAGCCCAGTGAGACAGGGATCTTGCTCTGTTGCCCAGGCTGGAATGCAGTGGCACAGTCTCAGCTCACTGCAACCTCCACCTCCTGGGCTCGGGTAAGCCTCCCACCTCAGCCTCTTGAGTATCTGAGATTACAGGCATGTACCACCATGCCCAGCTAATTTCTGTATTTTTTGTAGAGACATGGTTTCATCATGTTGCCCAGGCTGGTCTTGAACTCCTGCACTCAGTGATCCACCTGCCTCTGCCTCTCAAAGTGCTGGGATTATAGGCATGAGCCACTTCACCCGTCCTACAAAAAATTTAAAAACAAAAAACTGGCAGGGTGTGGTGACTTACCCCTGTAATCCCAGCACTCTGAGAGGCCAAGGCGGGTGGATCACTTGAGGTCAAGAGTTTGAGACCAGCCTGGCCAACATAGTGAAACCCTGTCTCTACTAAAAATACAAAAATTAGCTGGGTATGGTGGCAGGCACCTGTAATCCTAGCTACTCGGGAGGCTGAGACCGGAGAATTGCTTGAACCCCGGAGGCAGAGGTTGCAGTGGGCCAAGATCATGCTACTACACTCCAGCCTGAGTGTACAGAGTGAGACTCAGTCTCAAAAACAAAAAAAATTAGCCAAGCATGATGGTGCATACTCGTAGCCCCAGCTTCCTAGGAGGCTAAGGCGGGAGGATCGCTTGAGTTTAAGAATGCGATGCTGCAGTGAGCTGTGATCACAGCACTGCACTCCAGCCTGGGCGACAGACTGAGACCCTGTCTCAAAATAAAATAAAATAAATAAAAAGTCACTGT